ATTTCTATTTCTATTTCTATTTTTAATTTCTATTTCTATTTCTATTTTCTATTTCTATTTCTATTTCTGTTTCTATTTCTATTTTCTATTTCTATTTCTATTTCTATTTCTATTTTTATTTCTATTTTGCTCTCCCTGCAGCCAAGTGTGACTCCACGATCCGTGAGTTCCGTCTCCTCCCTGCGATTCCTTAATCCCCCAAAATTTGGGGCCCGAGAGGAGAAACAGCCCCTGGGTTGGACCCCAAATTCCCGGGAAAAAGGGGCAAATGCCCGGGAAGAGCTGGGAAGGGGGAGGAATCCAGGCGGAATTAACGGGATTTCCTCTTTTCCAGGACTTTTCACGGTGGAACTGGGTGAGTCCCCTCCCTCAATTTTAATTCAATTCCCCCCAAAACCATCCCAAACCTGAGAAATAACCCCAAAATTGGCTTTTTTTTTCCCTTTTCCCCCTCATTTGCAGGCGAGAGACACACGAAAATCGGTGAGTTCAGGGAAAAATCCCGGGAGGGAATTCCTGGAATTCCTGGAATTCCTGGAAATGCCCAAACTCCCCCTGCTGGGGCTGCAGGAAAAGGGACATTTGGCCTGAAAATTCCCTTTTTTCCCTCATTTCCAGGGGAGCTCACGGCAGATGTTGGTGAGGGGATTCTTCTAATCTCAATTTAATTATTTGTGCTAAAGAATTATAATTATAATATATTACAAATTATAATTTAACATTATATTAATTGGTTTTAGAACCATTATTTTATCATTAATTATAATATAATTATAATATTTTACAAATTATAATTTAACATGATATTAATTGGTTTTATAACAATTATTTTATCATTAATTATAATTATAATTATAATATTTTACAAATTAGAATTTAACATGATATTAATTGGTTTTATAACCATTATTTTATCATTAATTATAATTATAATATTTTACAAATGATAATTTAACATGATATTAATTGGTTTTAGAACCATTATTTTATCATTAATAACCAAAATAACCCAATTTCCCCCTTTTTTCCCAGAGTGCTGCAAGAAAAAGCTCCGTAAGTGCCCGAATTTTTCTCCTAATCCCATTTATTCCATCGGAAAACAAACGAGGAACGTCAGGAAATTCCTATTTTTCTCTCTTTTCTCTCTCCCAGGGGAACATGAGGAGGAGCTGGGTGAGGAATTCCCTCCTTTAAAGGGCTTTCGAGGGAGAAATTTGGATTTTAATTGAGTTTAGAGGCTAAAATCCACATAAATATGTATGCATTCCATAAATATCTCCATAAAATATAGGGATGTAAACAGGGATTATAAAATGGTGGCTTGGAAAATTCTATATTAAAGAATAATGGCATTAAAGTGGGTTTATCCAAAATATAATTTCATTTCTTTCTGCTGGTTGCAGAGGCCCGAGACGCCCAAATCCGTGAGTATTTCCCGGATTTTTGAAGCCATTCCTGACGTTTGTTCCTTTTTATCTTTGTCTGTTCAGGCTTTTTAAAGTAAATTAGGGTAAATTTTAAAGTAAATTTTAAAGTAAATTATTTCAACCTCTTTCTCTTGCCAGGAGAAAACGAAGCCGAGATCAGTGAGTCACAAATTGAGATGTTTATATTATTAAATACTATATAACAATGAAAGTCCATACATTGAATTATATCCAGAAATTTGAATTAATTACAATTAATTGGAATTAATTGGAATTAATTGAAATTAATCTCTCTCTGCCTCCCCCAGGGCACCTGAAGGAGCAGCTGGGTGAGTGTCCAACCTCAGTTTTAGGGGCCCAAGCCCCCATTTTGAGGCCCAAACCCCATTTTTGAGGCCCAACCCCCCATTTTTAGAGGCCCAAACCCCCATTTTGAGGCCCAAACTTCATTTTTAGAGGCCCAAACCCCCATTTTTAGGCCCCAAATCCCATTTTTAGGCCCAAACCCCCATTTTTAGGGTCCCAAATCCCCATTTTTAGGGTCCCAAATCCCCATTTTTAGGGTCCTTAATCCCCATTTTTGGCCTCAAACCCCATTTTTAGGGCTCAAACCTCATTTTTAAGGTGCAACCCCTGTTTTCAGTGTCCAAACCCCATTTCTGAGGCTTAAACCCCCATTTTTAGGGTCTGAAATCCCATTTTTAGGCCTCAAATCCCATTTTTAAGGCCCAAATCCCATTTTTAGGCCCAAATTCCATTTTTAGGGCTCGAACCCCATTTTTTAGGCCTCAAACCACATTTTTAAGGCCCAAACCCCCATTTTTAAGGCCCAACCCCCCATTTTTAGGGCTCAAACCCCATTTTTGGGGGGTCTAACCCCTCATAATTAGCCCTAAAGTACCGCTTTTAGAGTCTAAACCCCCATTTTAGAGCACAACCCCCCTTTTCAGTGCCCAAACCCCCCTTTCAGTGCCCAAACCCCCATTTTTAGGGCTCAACCCCCATTTTTAGAGCCCAAACCCTCCTGTTTGGGCCCCAAACCACATTTTTTGGCCAGAAACCCTCATTTTGAAGGACACAACCCCTCAGTTTTTTGCTCTAAACCCTCAGTTTTTTTACTCCAAACCCTCATTTTGGGGCACAACCCCCAATTTCTGAGCTCCCAGCTCTGTTTTAAGGCCCCAGACTTATTTTAAAGACCCAAAATGTCATTTTTTCCCCACACCCCCTAAAGAAATAGCCACAAAATCACTAAATTTTGCTGTTTTTCCCCTCCTCCCAAATATCCTTAATTCAAAAAGAGAAAAATGTTGGAATTCTGATCCCTTTTTTACTCCCTTTGCAGGAGAACGGGACGCTGTCAGCAGTAAGTTGGATTTGGGGATCCCGGGGGATTTGAGGGGTCAGAAAAAAACCCAAATTAATGAAATTCCATTTAAAAAATCAAATTAAAAGACATCAAGTCTCCCCCCATCTCAAGGGATTTGGGATCCCCGTCCTTGGGAAGGGCAAACCCGGATTAAAACTTGGTTTATTTCCCTCTTTTAAAGGAAAATTGAGGGAGGAGTTCGGTGAGTTTGGGTTTTGTGTCCAGGTTTGGGATTTTTAAGGGATTTTGGGGGGTTTCATGTCCATATTTGAGATTTTTTAAGGGGTTTTTGTGTCCAGATTTGGGATTTTTAAAGGGATTTTTGGGAGGGTTTTTGTGTCCAGATTTGAGATTTTTTGAGGTGTTTTCGTGTTCAGATTTGGGATTTTTAAGGGATTTTTGGGAGTGTTTTTGTGTCCAGATTTGGGATTTTTAAGGGTTTTTGGGCTGTTTTCATGTCCAGATTTGGGACTGTAAAATCCCTTTGGATTGGGGAGATTCCCTTGGGATTCGGGGCTCAATCAAATCCCTTTGGATTGCAGGGAAACCCTTGGAATGGGGAGATTCCTTTGGGATTGGGGAGATTCCTTTGGGATTGGGGAGATTCCTTTGGGATTTCGGGGGGGTTTCAACATTTTTCCTCTTTTCCAGATGAACTCCCGGAAGAAGAGGAAGAGGAGGAAGAAGAGGAGGAAGAAGAGGAAGAGGAGGAAGAGGAGGAAGAAGAGGAAGAGGAAGAAGAGGAGGAGGAAGAAGAGGAGGAAGAGGAACAAATTGAAGTGGAAGAAAAGCAGGAAGAGGAAGGGGAAGAGGAACCCCAGGAATTGGGAGAACCGGGAGCACCCCGTGAGTCGTTCCCGTTTTTCCCAGTTTTCCCACTAAAATCAGGCTGGGGTTGGTTTTTTTTTTTTTATTCCCAACAAATTCCTCCTGGAAGTTCCCAAATCCCCCAGATTTTCCCATCCCAAAAGAATCTCTCCAATCCCAAGGGATTTGATTGACCCCCAAATCCCAAGGGAATCTCCTAAATCCAAAGGGATTTTCCAATCCCAAAGGAATCTCCCCAATCCAAAGGGTTTCCCTGGAATCCAAAGGGATTTGATTGACCCCCAAATCCCAGAGGAATCTCCCCAATCCCAAGGGGATTTTCCAATCCCAAAGGAATCTCCCCAATCCCAAGGGAATCTCCCCAATCCCAAGGGAATCTCCCCAATCCCGTTTTCCTTCCCTGTTTTTCCAGGAGAACTGGACGAGCGGCTCGGTGGGTTCGGCTCCTGCTCCGGGGGAGGATTTTTGGGAATGGGAAGGAAAAATATCCCAAATTAACCCCCCCCCTTTTCCCTTTGGATCCCAGAGGAGCTCAGGGCAGCGCTGGGTGAGTCCCAAAAATCTGGGAATTCGGGAGGAGCAGGAAAAGGGTCGGGATGGAAACCCCGGGGTTGGGAATCGGGGGATTTTCCCTGGAAAATTCGGGATTTTTGGGCTTAAAAATGGG